TTTTCGTGAACTAAAAATCCTAGACATCGTGTGGAATTTGTTCAGAAATTAGTTGACTCTTTTTGGAAACAATGGAATAGAGATGTTTTGCCACTATTGGTACCGCGTAAAAAATGGAACACTGAAAAACGTAATGTTTGTGTAAATGACATTGTTATAATTCAAAATCAAAATGCTATCCGTGGAAAATGGACTTTAGGAAGAATATTAGAAGTTTACCCCGGAGCTGATAATCGTGTGAGAAACGTTAAAGTTAAAACCAAAGACTCTGAATATAATAGACCTGTTACTAAAATTTGTGTAATTTTGCCTGCAACTGAAGAATCTGATTTGGATGAGGACTAACGCCTCATCGGCGGGGAGAATGTTCTGCAAGAGACTATTGAATTGACTGTCCATGTTCCAAAATGTTTCCTTATATTTTTATAAGTTTAATCTGATCCGTACTTTTTGTAATAACCATGCTTCCGGTCATGGCATCCAGTGTTGTCATGAATTCAAATAGTAAAAAGTAAATAGTAAATAGTAAAAAGTAAAAAGTATATAACTAAAAGTAAATGTAGTGAATTAGATGCTCTGTAATTTAAACTAAGAAAAGAACCAACTGTATTATCAATCTGTTTTATTAACTATATAGAATTGGCCAATTACCAGGGGCTTAGACCGGACGGCTTCATGCACTCTCACGATCCATTGTGAACTAGTGATTTTGTTAAATTGAGACACTTTTCTAGTCATGTTGTTTGGGGGTTTTTTGTTTTGTGTTGATTAAAAGAATAATAATTTGTATTTTGTGTTGACTTACATTGTAATTACCTGTATCAAAACTATCATAATTAACAAAACAACTATAAATTATTTTACAAATCCTTTAATCGTGTACAATTGACATATTCAAATCATTTGAAATCAACTCAAATAAACTGTCTGATATGTATACAAACATTAGGAAATATAATGAGGGGCTGAAACGTGAATTTAGTAGACTAGCTGACATGAAAGAAAATACCAAAAGTAAAGTTTACGATATTAAATCTCTCATTACAGAAACCCAAAAGGCGTTCTATGTGACATAATCTAATTTTCACTGGAATACCCGAGGTGAAAGACAAAATTAGTGTAAGAGGATCCAAATTTGAAAATACCGAAGATGTGTTGACTAAATTCCAAACTGAGATTATGGGTTTTTCGGGGAATCTACCTGAACTTGAAGATGTCCATCTCATGGGACATGACAGGACTGCCCCGAGCGGTGCCACTATCCCAAGACCAATTATTACTAGGTTTCTAAAGATCAAAGAGAAAGAAGCTGTCCTCAGACGAGTCGCATAAACCTTAATAAAAAAACACCTTTCGGTATCAAAGAACAATTCCCTAAAGCCATAGAGGACATAAGGAGGGGTCTTTATAAGGTTAGAAAGAAAGCAAGAGGCATTGGTTTTCGGAAAATCCAGATTTCTCAGATTTCGGACAACGGCTAACTAACAGACTGAATGAACCATTATCACAACAAAATTATGGAGAATGAGTTTCCAATAAGTGGTCAAGTGAATACAAATGGTGGATTTTCAATTGATGGTTTGTTAGCGTCTAGGATTTATTCGGGAAGCATAAATCACTGTTAATCGTGTTGACCTTGGACGTACATGGGCTTCGTCACAAATGTGAGAACGCCGACTTCCATGAAGTCATAGATAAAGCCGATATTTTGTTGTTATCTGAAACTTGGTTGCGTGATGAGCAATCGATTGTGTTGCATGGTTTTTTCAGAAGGCCTGTGTGTAAATAGAACGAATTCCCTTAAGAGTAATAAAGTTAACACTATTTGTGGTGGTATTGTCGTATATTATAAAAATGAATATTCCCAATTTATCATTATTTGTGAATATGATAAAGTGCGTTGTGCTATAATCAATATAAAGCAAAATGTATTGATAGACTGTGAAGATATAATTATCACATTTATGCACATTCCCCTGAACAATCATCCTGTTGGATATCGATTATTTTGATATATTAGAGCAATTAGATATTATCTATTCACAGCGAGGTAAAACATTTGTTTGTGGTGATTTGAATGCGAGATGCTCAACAGATCCTGACTATATTTCATGTGATAATTTGAGTGAGTATGTGAATCAAATTGAATCTGACAATGATCCCAGTTTACCTCCTTTACCTTTACCTATTCTTTTGGATCTAAACTTCTTTCATTTTGTAAATCTACATCTTGTTTAATAGCAAATGGTCGCTTAGGTATCGATGCATCAAATGGTAGAATAACCTTCTGTAATAAAAAGGGTGAATCTGTAATTAATTATTTACTTGTCCCACGACATTGTATGTCGACTATAGTCGAATTTAGTGTATTAGAAATGAACGAGTTTTCTGATCATGCACCCATTGAGTTCAAAATTAGTTGTCAGAAGAGTAAAACCCAGAAAGAGCAACTATCTGGCAATCAAAATGTCCGAGTTATCAATTGGACTAAAAATGAAGATTGTAAAATAGAATTATTTCATCTTGTTAAAAAGTGTCTCCTAAAACCTTTAATACCCATTTTGAAAACTTGTGTAATCCAAACCAGACCACTATTGATGAAGTAATTGAGTTTATAAGTACAGCATTACATGATGTTATTGATAATGTCTATGGTAAAACTATTAGTAAAAATAAGAATAAATGTAATTATGCTATACAAAACAAATGGTTTAGTAAAGATTGTAGAAAATCAAAGAGCTACTTTAAGAAATTTAGAAATGAATATTATTGATGTAGATCTCATATAGCTAGAATTAATTATGTTAATACAAGAAATAAGTATAATGATGTGATCAGAAACGTAAAGTCAGAATATCAGATTTTACAAGCTGATGAATTATGTATGGTGAATGTCCTAAGGATGATAGTTCGAATGAATTTACCTACTCGACTGAGGAACTTCCCAATATTTCAGAACTAGATAAAGATTTTACCATAGAGGTTGTGAATGTTCTCAAAGGTCTGAGACGAGGGAAAAGCTCGGGTGTAGATAAATTACCATGTGAATTATTTTTAGATTGTTCTGATATATAGGCTCCCATATTATAGTTAGACTTTATAATATTATTTTTACCAGTGGTATTTATCCAACTCAATGGACTGAGTTATTTATTGGTTCCTGTACCCAAAAAGGGTGATCTGAATCTTGTTGATAACTTCAGAGGTATAACTATCATTTCAAAGATATTTTCGCTACTATTAAATAAAAGGTTAACCAAATGGGTTGAATCTTCTTGTTTGCTCCCAGAATGCCATGGCAGTTCTGATTCCGTAATAACCACAGTACCACTGATGCTTTATTCATATTGCATAGCCTTATCAATAAAACATAAGAGAGCCGTGCCTCTTCGAAAATGTTTTGATAAAATCGATAAATGTTATTTGTTATATAAGTTGTATTGTCTGAATATTAGCTGAAAATAGAAAAGTAAGTCTAGCAATAAAGTTTAAGGTAATATATCTGATATCTTCCAATGTTACTGTGGTGTCAAGCAAGGTGAGTCTTTGTCTCCTATTCTTTTTCTCCTTTTTCTGCAAGATTAAGAAACATATCTGGTAGCCTAAATAATGAAAATTGTTATTCAATTAACGGTCGATTATTATTCATGTTGCTCGTTGCCGATGATACTGTCCTTTTTAGTAAAAAACACGAAACTTTGCAATTGTTATTAAATAAATTAAATATTGTAAAAGATGGAACATGGAAATTAATGAAAATAAATCTAAGATAGTTATATTCAGGAAGGGGATACAACCAGCAGGTCTAAAGTGGTTTATAAATGATAAGGAACTTGAGATTGTTGACTCATATGTATATTTAGGTATCTTTTTATATAGTAATGATAGTTTCACCAAAACGCAAAAGCCAATATGTGATCAGGGTATAGGAAGGCAAACTATGGTTTGTATAAAATATTTAACGATTATAATTTCAATGTACATTACAAATTAAAATTATTTGATTCATTAGTAGCCTCTATTTTAAACTATAGTTGTGTTGTTTGGGGTTTTAATGCAGGGAAAGATGTCGAAAAATTACACAATGAATTTCTTAGGCAAATATTAAGTGTTCGCAATAATACAAATATTAGTGTTTTAAGAGGGGAATTGGGTAGATATCCATTAAATATTATAAGAAAATTTCGTATATTTAAATATTAGTTTGATATTATATATCTAAGCGTAACTTGTTGTTATATGATGTTTATATTAATTTAAAAACCTACTGTGATAATGATAAGAAAAACTTGGCATATTTTGTTAAAGTTGAATTAGAAAATCTAGGACTTTCTGATATATGGAATAATCGATGTTATCTCACTGAATCATGTATTGTAATTATTAAAAAACGTATTATTGATAATTTTGTACAAAGTCCTCTTCATCTAAACTTTTATATTATAATGAATTTAAGGACTGTTTTAATTTTGAACCTTTTTTGACATTTATTAAAAACGAGAAGTAGGCCTATGTTGAAATATTAAGTCTTTTTCGCAGTGGAAGTATGAAATTTGAAATTGAAACAGGTCGATTTAATAAAACACCCAGAGAGTCTAGAATATGTAAATTTTGTGAATTATCTTGTGTAGAAGATGAGTTTCATTTCCTTCTCGTATGTCCTTGTTTTAATCAATATAGATATAATTTTATTCCACAATGTTCTTATGAGCATCCTGATAAGAGAAAATTTATAGAATTAATGAAATGCTGTGATAAATATTTAACGTACAAAATATGTCAATATCTATATTTCTCATGGGAACACCGATGTTCACTATTGTAAATAATTTGTGTTTCCTGGATATCTATGCAATTGTATATATTATGTATATATGTTTCATATTGTGTAAATGTATTTATCATTGGGCTAAATCAATGTTTGCTACAGCTGTAATAAAGTTCAAGTTCAAGAATATGTTGTGTTTCGATTATTAATCGATTACAGAATCGATTACGCCTCTCCGATTATTTCGATTAATCGATCATTATTTTCTTCCGATTGCCCATCACTATCTGTGAAAGCTGTAGTCAATAGTAATAATTACTGTACTGTACTGTACTCCATCTAGGGTGAAGTTCTTGAGATAGAAGCATTCAAAGTTTCAAGAAGATTGCAACATTTTCTTTAATATACATTCGAAGACGTTACATCCCTACCCTTCCAAGTCAAAATGGTCACGCCACGTCCCTGTGGTTTATACGCTACTTGAACGCCTTAGGATGTTCGCTGAGTTACATAAACACGGGATTAACAGTCGAACGGATTAACGAACTATTGTGAAATTTGAATGTCAAGCTGCTGTTAAGGACCATTCAAATCTGGCAGTAAATGCTTCTTCAATTAAGGAAAATGCAGGGTTTATGTATTTGGGGACTAGCATTTGCTGATTCTTAAGCAAGATCTTTAATATCCAGCTTTTGATTTTGCTTGGTTTTCACAGAAGCAAACTCTTGGATTTTATGAATGCAAAAGTAAGGAAATGCACCCTGATACACATAAAAAATTAGAAAACCCCTTAGAAATTTTTACAAATAGCATTCACAACAAGCAAAATCGATTTGTCGTTTTTTTGCTGTCTGCTATCTTTAACATATGCGGTTTGTTAATCATAGAATTTATTTATGAGATTACATCGAATTTAATAGTCCATATATAAACGCGTTACTGTAAATGGACTCTATGTTATAGCAACGTCACACCGGACTGCGCTCTAACGGCGACTGGAAAGTACTAGAGACTAAAGAAAAAATCCCTAAAAATCATATTGCGTTCTAGCGTCTTTGCCACGCGTGTACGCGTTTATGTCGCTCAAGGAGATGTTACAAAGCTTGTCTGATGACCTCGATCCCAACGCGTTCGAGTGCCAAACCTTGGCGTTTGTTTTGAACATGTCCAAAATAAACACCCTGTCTCGGCGATATCTGACTTGTCCTTCCCGCTTATACCACGCTTATGTAGAGCTTAGCACGCTCTGAGCCAATTTTCCGTCGCAGTTAGAACGCCTTCCTTGTGTGACGGGGCCTTTACACATATTTTAGTTACCTGATTCCTCTTAGAATACACTCGTCCTACAGCTACAATTTGGGTTTGCAAACGGATGCACCTGTGACTTTAATCTGATTCGATTGCGTCTGAAAACCATTTTTTCGTATCAAATCGAAAACAGGGTGGGGCAGCTGTTTACCCACTATCTTGAAAAACATTCAGTTTAATCTATCCTACAGACAAAATCTGTTTCGCCTTGTGACGTCATATTGGTTATGGTAATCGAATCAGAATAATTAACAGCGTAACAGCGTAGAAATGCCTCAGGTCACCCAACGATTTGCAACATGCTAAGCGGACTCTTTCAATAATAACTTTAGTTTGTGGATTTATCGGATTATACAGGGATTTTGTCGTATAGTTATGACATCAGGTAAGTCAAAATACTTATATTCTTATTGGCCAAGTTTGAGCGAAATTAACAGTTTATGTTGATTCTAAAAGGTAGTATACTTGTAAACAAAGTTTAGTTTTTCAACGGTATTAGTTCTTGCACTTATTGTTTATGAACCTTTTTTTGTGGGAAGTAATTGTACAGTGAAACCTACCTTTTACATCAATTGTTATATTTTCTTCAGATTGATTATCTGTTGATACAAACACCTTACATCTCCATACACCACTATCTCTTGTTCTATTGACAGTATTAATATGAATTGTAACACTGTTATTAGTTTTAGATATATTGTAATATTGAGTATAATCAATACCAGTTGATGAAATAATACAACTTGATAACTGTACACGACATGTTGTAATAGTCTGTGTATCACTGATACTTCCGTAAATTTCAAATGTTGTAAACTGATTGTTATAGGTACAGGTAACATCACCAGGTTCACCTTCTATAAATACTTCCGGTTTAATACTCAATATATCTTGACCTGTAAATATAATATTAGTATAAAATTTTGTATACTGGTTTTATTTGTAGAGGTAACATTTACATGTCCACCTTCTATAAATACTTCCGGGTTTAATACTCAATAAATCTTCACTTATGAAACAAAACTAGTTATATTGTATTAAAAGGCACGTGTCAACATTTGAAGAGCCGTACACTAAGATAGTGGACTACTATAAAATATAACCCGCCCAATGGGTGAAAGGTTAAATTATTTTATATTAATGGGCTATGAACAAGGTTGTCATTTAAGTTTTGTTTTTTTTTTAATATGCAACAATCATCTTTTGTTTATACACGTGGGTGAATTTCTCTTGCAGGCTCTCGTAAAGGATATGGGCTATCTTACTTGCTCGATTGCTGGTTGTATTAAACGAGACGACAAAGAGTACTAAGCCTGCATTATGATAAAAATTCAGTCCTATCGGTCTAGCTATATTTAGCGTCTCAATCCAAAGGACTTCCTTAGCTTGACGGAATTTCGTAGTTTCATCTTCAATTACTATGCGCTCCATGGGGGTTAGGATAAGATCGTCGGATGAACGGTCGTCCAAGTTGAAATGATTAGAAACAGGCTTTTATTTGATATCTGAGAAGTAAACCTAGTGCGTAAATTATTTCTAGACTATACTACACGTTGTTTGGGACATTACTTACATGAAATTAAGTAATCTAAGTTCGACTTGTCAGATGCTCTTGAACAGGATAGATTTTTTTAGTGGAATTACTAATGAAAAAGTGAGTTTCTGATATAAAGGGACATGTTTTGCATCTATTTGACTGACTGAGGGGCACTCCTCAAGTCTGTTCTTAACTGCTATCTACGCTAAGGTGGAATTTTTAATGTTTCGAAAAAATCGTTTAGTTAGCACCCTCTTTTAGTTTCAAGAAAACTGAGGTACAGGCTTGGTTAAAATCGGTTGATCTTTTGCAAATTTCGTGAAATCGTAAAACTTGTGACTTAATTATACCAGAAAGGGTATGCTTTGGGTGATATGAGTTCTTGTGCAGGAGTTGTTGAGTATCAGTTTCCTTAAAATATACTTTAATTTTAATTAAGTTTATTCGTTTCTGCTATGGAGTCTCCTTTGTTAACAGTGCTATCTAACACAAAATCTATGCTCTTGTGACTGACGTTGGCAGTAAGGCCAAATAAAAAAAATTAATTGGTTATCGTCCTTGCTACTAGAAAAAGGCGGGTAGGGGGGAGGCTTTTTTTTTTTTTTTTTTTTTTTTTTTTTTTTTTTGGGAGTCCAGTATTAAAGGAGTTGTGGGTATATATGAAATACTGCCCCATGCACGCCCTGCCCCATGCACACCCTGCCCCATGCACACCCTGCTAGGGTAGAGGTGCATGGGATAGCATTTCCGTGCATGAATTCAAAACAAATTCAATTGTAATAACACTTTAATCGAAAACTTAACAATTTAATTAAAATTTTGACATATGAAACAATTAAATAAAACATTTTAACATATTTAACATTGATTAAGGTTAACTCATCATTGTGTTTTAAAGAATAAGGGCAATAACTCATTAAATATTTTTTAGATTTTTTTTTTTTTTTCAATAGGGTTCATCCTTGGGTGACAATGAATACTAACACAAAGTTTTAGTCAAAATCTGTAATAATTCATACCCGGTACTCAATATTATTCAATTTTGCTGATTTTCAAAAGGGTCCATCCTTGAGTGATAAAAACCTTCCAGAGTGTTCACAAACTAAATATTGACCGTGATTACGAACACTCACACCATGTTTTGTCAAATTCTGTACAGAATATTGTGTTTACCAGCAATTGTCGACTGATGGAAGGACCGACGAACATGGGCGACGACAATATATGCCCATTTCATGTTGGTGTATAAAGATTTAATAGATCACAATTGAGCTTTTTTTCCGGATCAATGATCTAACAAAGTTTATAAGGTAAAGCTAATTTCAATGTCGAAATATGTGGATGAAACATTCAAACTCACCAACTAGGACTTGGACAAATGATCAATTAATTCTACCTCACCCGTCACTCCGTCAGTGAGTTCGTCACTCCGTCAATGAGTTCGCCACTCACGTCAGTGATTCCGTCATAACGTCAATCGTCAATGCTACCGAACAAAAAATGTAATATTAATGAATTATAATCACCAAACGAAATCAAAACGAAATTTTTAGAAAGACGTACGTCGATGCTACCTTACAAAATGATGAATACTAGCGTTTCTTAAAATAAAACGAAAGAATATGCCAGTCCGTCAGTGGCGAACTCATTGACGTAATGACGTATGAAGTAGTCCAGGGCTGATATACAGCTAATTCATCCATCACTGCGTTATTGGCTCAATCCGTCATTGACGTCAGTCCGCCAATCATCCCAGTGACGGGTTGACGTAGTTACGTATAACATAATCCAGGGCTTATACTCACCTTATTCATCCGTCAATGATTCCGTCACTCCGTCATTGGCGTCAGTCCGCCAATCATTCAAGTGACGGAGTGGCGAACTCATTGTCGGAGTGGCGAACTCATTGACGGAGTGGCGAACTCATTGACGGAGTGACGAACTCACTGACGGAGTGACGTATGAGGTAGCCCTAGACAGGGGAAAACATTTCATCCGTCATTCGTCGATGCTACCTTACAAAATTACAGGGCTCTATGTAGGGCGCTTCTTCATGCGTCGCTCCGGCATTGGTCTCAATGGATCCATCATTCCCGTCAGTCCGTCATTGGCTTTATCCGTCATTGGCGTCAGTCCGTCAATCATCCAAGTGACGGAGTGGCGAACTCATTGAAGGAGTGGCGAACTCACTGACGGAGTGGCGAACTCATTGACGGAGTAACGAACTCACTGGCGGAGTGACGAACTCACTGACGTACTGACGTATGAGGTAGCCCTTATGCATACACGCCTTATTCATCCGTCACTCCGTCAATGAATCGGTAGCTCCGTCATTCATCCAAGTGACGTAGTGGCGAACTCATTGACAGAGTGGCGAACTCATTGACGGAGTGACGAACTCATTGATGGAGTGGCGAACTCATTGACGGAGTGACGAACTCACTGACGGAGTGACGTATGAGGTAGCCCTCATGCATACACGCCTTATTCATCCGTCACTCCGTCAATGAATCGGTAGCTCCGTCATTCATTGCCATTGGCTTAATCCGTCATTGACGTCAGTCCGTCAATCACCCAAGTGACGGAGTGGCGAACTCATTGACGGAGTGGCGAACTCATTGACGGAGTGGCGAACTCATTGACGGAGTGACGAACTCACTGGCGGAGTGACGAACTCACTGACGTACTGACGTATGAGGTAGCCCTTATGCATACACGCCTTATTCATCCGTCACTCCGTCAATGAATCGGTAGCTCCGTCATTCATCCAAGTGACGTAGTGGCGAACTCATTGACAGAGTGGCGAACTCATTGACGGAGTGACGAACTCATTGACGGAGTGGCGAACTCATTGACGGAGTGACGAACTCATTGACGGAGTGGCGAACTCATTGACGGAGTGACGAACTCACTGACGGAGTGACGTATGAGGTAGCCCTCATGCATACACGCCTTATTCATCCGTCACTCCTTCAATGAATCGGTAGCTCCGTCATTCATTGCCATTGGCTTAATCCGTCATTGACGTCAGTCCGTCAATCACCCAAGTGGCGTAGTGGCGGATTCATTGATGGAGTGGCGAACTCACTGACGGAGTGGCGAACTCATTGACGGAGTGGCGAACTCACTGACGTACGAGGAAGCCCTAGATAGGGGAAAACATTTCATCCGTCATACGGAGTGACGGGCCGTTTGATGGGGATGCGGAATCCTTAGCAGAGAGATGGAAGAGGTATTCATGGACTGGCTCCAATGACAGATATCAATAAAGTCCGGGGGCTTTCAATTCAACCTAAAGGAATGCTAAAACTGAATGCCAATAAATTAGGTATTCAGCCCTGGATTGCTTCATACTTAACAACATATATGAGTTCACCACTCCATCAATGGGTTCGCCACTAAGTCATTGAGTTCGCCACTCCGTCAATGAGTTCACCACTACGTCAGTGAATTGTCCACTCCGTCAATGAGTTCGCCACTATGCCAATGAATTCGCCACTATGTCACTGCAATGATTGACGGACTAACGACAGATTGAAAAAAAAAAAAGAAAATGTTCAAGGAATCTAGGAAAGCGTTGAAAAAATCTATCGCGATTTTGGTATAGTGAAAGTATAATAAAAAAAATTTTTATGGCACTATTAGAAGACAAAACAGTTTTCTTATTATTTGTTTTATTAAAGATAAAAGAATACCAGAATTCGACATAAAATATTACAAGTTTTTGAAAAAATATATATTTTCACAGTTATCATAATCATGGCAAACGAGTGATGGCTATAGGCTACACTTACAAAACAGCAGCTTTAATCTCATTTATTCTTCTGTTTTTAAAAAAATAATATAATATCTCCATTGATCACAGCACATTTCAATATGGCTTGTTACTTACAAATGCATAATGTAAATATTATCTAACGCATTCAGAAGCAACAATTCAAGTGTTGGAGTTTAACGTCTTTTTTCATTAAAAATGCAATATAATTATGACTACAAATTTTTTCACATCATTTGTTCCATATTAAAGAGATTGTCCAAAGTCTTTTTTTTAACTTAACATATGTATTGGGAACACTGAAAGGATCAATTTTCACCATTCCAATCTTCAATAGGACGTCTGAGGTCCATGTAATTCCTTTTAAACCATCGCAAAAGCTGAAAATAATATATAAGAAACTTTCAGATGGTGAAGTAATAACCCCCCCCTTCGTTTTAATGGAATTGCAAGAAACGCAGATCTGAAAATTAGAATGGTGCAAATCAGTGTCCCTGATAATCATAAAAAGTTTACAAAATTTTAATAATAACCAGATGTAAATAATTACGGTAACTAAATTATAACCAAATTAATGTCAAAACAATAATCGGTGGAAGAGATAACTGTGTTCCCAGGAAAACTTTGACGCTGTTTTTGCCAAACAAAGATCAATAACTAAAAAAAAACGTTAATTGAACATAAATTGAAGATCGAAGTTATTTCCAATATAGCATTCCAAATTTCGACAAAAGCAGAAGAAATTTTTTTCTATAGTGATCACCAATCCATTTCGAAGAAAAATTGCGAAAAGTTCTCAACAATATACATAACAAAACATGCCAAAGTCCATCAAGATCAGGTTACAACTGCAGTCTCGTTCGTATTCACATGCCAAATTCGTTTATTTTGGATAGATCAAAATCAATTAACTCAAAAATCGTTCATAAAAAAATCATATTAAACGATGTACACAAAATTATACGTAAACATACCAAGAATTGTTAAAATTCTGGCCTTTTTGTATAGCCTACATACAAGATATTTCACTTGCACGAACCATAAGCAAATTGAGATCGATATCCTGCAAGAATGTTGATATAGGTTCATACAATAATAGAAACGAGTTACGATGCTTTAAAAACACGAAAAATCGAAGTCATTAGCTTGTATCTTATTTTCGTTTACTGATGGAAATTAGATATTCCCCAATTTGTACGAAATTTTTTTTTTTAGTCTTTGACATGTTCTATAGACGATTTGATTTAAATACTCCGTCAAATGTCGTTTTTCGTTTAAGAACTTATTAAAAACAAAAGTTATAAAATTGTAAGGTAGCATCAACGTATTGATGGACTCCAGTGACGGAGTGGCGAACTCACTGACGTAGTGACGAACTCATTGACGGAGTGGCGAACTCATTGACGGAGTGACGAACTCACTGACGTACTGAAGTATGAGGTAGCCCTGACTCCAAATGATCGTCTGCATTCCTCCTGCAGCGGCTCGCTGTCAAATTTTCCGGCTACCAATTCTGAGTAGAATTCGGAAAGTGTCTTGTCGCTGGAGATGCAAACCCCACACCATGCTTTCAATAATGTGGGGTTTTTATCTTGCGCAATGCTAGCTACTACAAAATCCATTACATTAAATAAAAATGCGAAGACTAGTAAGTAGGCTAGTTTAAATGAATGCAGGATCAAAACAGTACTGAGTTCAATAACTTCAATGCGCAAGCGCAATGTCAAGGGAGGTAATTGTACCGGAAGCTTATACGGAGCATTCGGAACAGCATTGTTATTTCGATAAATTTGGACACTCGGCACGCTTTTTTAGACATTTTATGAGAAAATAAAAAATAAAAAATATATGGAGTCGGGCCGTTTTCTCCGGTCGGGCGGGGACGATAACCAACTTTTTTTTTTATGTCGCCTAAGTTTAATGGATGGATCGGATGGTTATTTTTGAGAATTTCAAAACTATGGAAATATCATCGAGAAAACGACTATAAAACAATGCGTCAAATGGACAAAGGTTCCCACTCTGCCATGAAAAAGGTTTGCGTATGAAGGGGGAGTTTGCAGATATTTTTTACCATTAAATGTACACATGTAGATAATGAAACCATTGTGGTCTGAATTATAAAACTATGACAATACAGATTAAAAATTTGGTTACTACTTTAATAATAGAAGTTTAGACAGGTACGAAAGTGACACTCGTAGAAAATAATTTAATTAGCCCTCTCAGCAGAAAATATATCTTATAATCTAATGATATTACATGATCAACATGTTTCACGCTATGCGATCTTCAGACTACTGACCTATATCAGCCTGCAGGGCGAAGTTGAACAAGTGGAACTTATTCCCATATTTACGCTTCGAGACGAGTTCGGAACGTTGTTTGAAAACATGTGCTTAGGCCCATTTATGGTAGAGCGCTCTCAGTTTAACGCAGTTTACATCGTTTGTTTTTTTTTT